GGCCAGGTGGCGCCGACAGCCTCAGGCTTCTCTAATTCACTCTTCAAGCATTGAAGCACAGTTTATCTGGCCGCTTTCAATTATGTACTCTAAAACAAGCTGAACAACAGGTTACTCTTGTTCGCACACTGAATTCGCTTGGTACTGATGTGTGCTGTGCATCGGAAACGAGATCCCAGCAGTCGCTGAGCAAAATGCCAAATCGCTCCAGGTACATGTCCTGGTCCAGAGGCTGCTGCAGTAGACTGCAGAGGGTCGGCATCGTCCTAAGTCACCAGGCGAAAGGGTCCTTGCCTCACTAGATACTCGTTGATAATAACCCCTGTGAGGTTCATCAGGCAACTTCCGTGAAGTAATCTCACAACCGTGAAGTTGAGCGATGTTTGTTAAATCCTGAGACCATCAAAGACCATTGTTACGGCTCCTTGAGTGTCCTGATGCGGCAGGCTAAAAGTTCATATACCATCGCTGTTCCTCTACACCATCTCCTGTATCACTGTGAGGTCTACGAGAGGCTCCCGCCCGAGCTCACCGCATCAAGTGGTATCAGACAGGGATGTTCTCTTTCACCTTTCCTCTTAAACTCCGTCATTGATACGAAGATGACCCACGGCATCCGGCCTATACTGGGTCATGATTGGCTGTTCGGTCCAGAATTTCATCCAATCAGATCTCGGCTTGATGCCGGACTCGCAAGCGTCCCGAATTTTGGTTAATCGTCAATGCGATGTGCTTCTCGGCCGTAGCAGCACTTGACTGTGAGCGGTAGAGCGGGATCCGTGTGGAATTCCGCCTGGCGCGTGTACATGAGAATCAGATGGACTCCATCCTAAATGGTTAATCGCACTGAAAATTCCCAGACCTTTCGTAATCTTTTTCATACCATTTAAAGGCCGTTGGTCACATAAGTGGTTGTACCAGGTTGTTTGATAGCTATAGATAGGATCAGCACAGCTTCCAGCTCGTACAGTTTTGGAATTGTAACGTGGCTGGCTACCTGCTTTTTGGAAAAACGCAACGCACTAACATTCATTGCCAACCACCGCTGCCTTTGGGTCACTGTTCTCAGTCAAAGGTATTGGTTTATGACTCTATCGTCCTCCCGTCTAAGTTTGAGCACCATGGCGGTATCACAGTCCACGTACAATGATGTCTACGGAAGCCAAAGTGCTGTCGTGCCCCATGGGCTGACAAATGGTGTCATCGACCGAATCGTATCATCTATTGCATAAAGCAGAATGGGGGAGCGAAGAAATCCGTCTGCTCCCACTTCCGTTCTTCCCTCATAAACTTTTTTCTCTTACTCTCTCCAAACCTTGAGGGCCGATTGGCTGGGATTAGCGGCCTCTTACGTCGGTCTCAGCCGTGGCATTTTTCGGCCAGGTGGCGCCGACAGCCTCAGGCTTCTCTAATTCACTCTTCAAGCATTGAAGCACAGTTTATCTGGCCGCTTTCAATTATGTACTCTAAAACAAGCTGAACAACAGGTTACTCTTGTTCGCACACTGAATTCGCTTGGTACTGATGTGTGCTGTGCATCGGAAACGAGATCCCAGCAGTCGCTGAGCAAAATGCCAAGTCTCTCCAGGAACATGTCCTGGTCCAGAGGCTGCTGCAGTAGACTGCAGAGGGTCGGCATCGTCCTAAGTCACCAGGCGAAAGGGTCCTTGCCTCACTAGATACTCGTTGATAATAACCCCTGTGAGGTTCATCAGGCAACTTCCGTGAAGTAATCTCACAACCGTGAAGTTGAGCGATGTTTGTTAAATCCTGAGACCATCAAAGACCATTGTTACGGCTCCTTGAGTGTCCTGATGCGGCAGGCTAAAAGTTCATATACCATCGCTGTTCCTCTACACCATCTCCTGTATCACTGTGAGGTCTACGAGAGGCTCCCGCCCGAGCTCACCGCATCAAGTGGTATCAGACAGGGATGTTCTCTTTCACCTTTCCTCTTAAACTCCGTCATTGATACGATCATAGATGACCCACTATCCGCCTCTAATGCATGCGGGGTGGGAGTTCTCCCGCGGTTTTGTCCAGGAATACGCAGACGACATAACTCTTCTTGGATCTGACCCCGTGGTAATGCAAACAATATTAAATGGTCTAAATAATTTCGCCTCTTGGTTAGGCGTGCGCCTCACACCTGCAAAGTGTGAAGTCCTACTTCAAGACTCGGTCGGCTCGAGCTCTAGCCTCATCTTCGCGGATGAATCGATTGAGGTAGTAGACAAATTTGTTTACCTGGGCTGCTATATCAGTCCCGGTGGTCTCGCAGAAAATGATATCTCCTCCCGGATCGGGAAGGCCAGAGCAGCTTTCGCGAACCTACGTCATCTGTGGCGTAGGTGTGACATCAGCTTCTCTGTCAAGGGTCGAGTTTACAATGCTGCGATGCGGTCCATATTACTATACGGATCAGAAACCTGGCCGCTGCGCGCTGAGGACGTCAAAAGACTTTCAGTGTTTGACCGTCGATGTCTTCGGAACATTGCCCGAATCTGATGGGAACACCGGATCAACATTACTGATATACGTCGAATGATATTCGGGAGAAATAACTCACCCTCGACAGATGAACTGATCACACTGCATCGATTACGCTGGCTTGACCACACGTTGCGTATACCAGTCAACTAACTTCCTTGAAAAGTTCCTTTCGCACAACCACGTGAAGGGTGGAAGAAGGCAGGAGGTGGTCAAACGATGACTTGGCAGCTAAGTATAAAAGCCATCACCAGGAAACTCAGCTCCGCTGGTCATTGCCGACTTCCCGGATGGGGACCCCTATACGGGACACGTCAATGGTTAGAGACTGTCAAACATGGCCCAGTCACGCCCTCAGTGGTGCTCGGGCATCCAAGCTATTACCTTCAATTCATAGCTCCTTTCCCTATTCCGCCATTTAACAGTTCACTGACAGTGCTGTTTATACGCACCAATTTATCAGCTCCCACCTCCAGTGCGCAGCTTCCTACCACACCTCCCCAAATCACTGGTGAAAGAAACTGGATGCTACAACCACGGTACAAGTACGCGGTTCTTATAGCTGAAATGATGATGATGGTGAAAGTCCAGTCCTGCGATGAACCGTCTGGGTGAGGGCAACCCAATAACATTGGTGCGCTAGTTTCTTCCAGCGAACCACCTATCTCAACCCATTCGATGACCAACTCCGTAAAAGCGCTAGGTGGCTCGTGCTCTTGAATGTCACAACTCAGACATTGGGGATTTATGCCAGATCGTCATCTACCCGCAGGTCTTATTATGGAATGCCCTACTGATGGAAACACCATTCACAGTTCAACCCCTCCTTGAATGAACAAGGAGTTCAGTAAAGTGTGGTGTATGAACTAAGTTGTCCCAGAAAACGCTTCCGTCTCAGCTATCTCTCGGTACATGCAGTTCAGTGCATCCAGTCAGTTACGTGCTCTTTACCAAGGTACATTGTTTCGAACTCTCGGAATTTCTCGCACCGGGGATAAGGGGGTTGACAGGAAAACGGCCACGCGGAGGAATTGGGATCGAGTTTATTAAAATACTATTGCTCAACTCTGTTGTGGAATTGGGCTGCTACATTTTGAAGGCGACTGCTTTAGTACATACCCACCAGAGGTTACATGTTACATATACCTATTTGTGATGCACAATCATCCTCCCTTGAGTCGTTTGATTAAATGAAACTGGTTTTTATTGATGCGTCGAAGGCATTAAATTGTGTCTGGCCTGATGGTATGTATGGTCTGAATACCAACTCGCCAAGATGGTTTGGAAGTTTCCTTGATCAGCCCTGACAGCTTTGTCTCTCGGAGCTGACAAATCAGCACGGAGATTCTTCAGGAGTCTGTTCTCTTTTACATCCGCGACGTATTGCTGTCTGTCTTTTTCTATATTCGCGCCATGGATGTCGCCGTCTTCATATCACCGTTATGTACACATTACCACTCACCGATTGCGTGAACATCGCATAGTAGGCATCACAACAGTGAACACCGGCCTTGCCATTTTCCTTGACTGCTGCACGCCGTCTGCATCGACGTTCAACCGATCCAGCCCACTCGCGTCCATTACTCTTCGCCGTTGTCCACCCAACCTTCACCTTTCTATTCGGCCCATCACCACTCCCAACACTTTTCCTTCTTTTGAGCGCTTAATTTCTTGCACCACTTTCCAGTTCCCTCAAACTTCTCACTACTCTGCCCAGGAGATTCGACTTCTTGCTTTGAGCTCGAAAATGCTCCAGTCCTGCCCTGTGGTAGGGATATTACTATCTTGTCCGGGGTAAGGGTGTCTTCATATCTTACACTAGTTGGTTCTATCCTGCTACACTTCTGAACGATAGCTTCCGCTGTCAATGTATGACTAGTCTTGTTTTATAGTTGCTGTCGGAATTTCTTCACAGAGGCTCTCCTTTTCCGTTTCTCCACATATTTTTCAGTTGCTATCTGCGTAGACTCTTCTAGCTATCTTCTCTCCCCCACTACCTCTTCCTCGTGCCACAAAACACCTCGGGACATCCCTGTCACAATTGTTCCCAACGGTTTCTACATCTCCTCAGTCCATAATGCTCTTTCTTGAGCGTCTTGCTATTTCTACAAAGAGCATTTGACCATCGAATCCCCTCTGCTCTTTTTTTCCTGCGCAGTAGAATAATTTTCTCAGTCTGCAAAAAGTCACTTCAACCGTACGCTACCACGGATTCTAAACATCCGGGGATTTGTTTTTTTCTCAGTGGTATACTGGAATTCCACCCTACATACCACATCGATTTTCGCCATGGATGTAGTATAATAAATAAAAAAACAAATCATTCAGCGTTGACACCCTTCCGGTGCCTAGCTACCATGCCATCCCAAGGAAGCACGAGGGCTGGGATACTGCCAGGTTGTCCAAACCTAGCCGGGGGAAGTCGGGAGGCAGAGGTCCGGTTCAAACCACGGACCTTCCGGTCAGTAAATTCGCGCCCCAACCAGTTGAGCCATCTCGCCCCCATGGATGTAGTGGATGATAATAGATGTAGTATCATCAAGCTCAACCGTTGGGTTTTCCTAAACACTCGAATATTCAGTCTGCTGACCAATTACAGACCGCTATTTTTGCTAATACCTGACCTCTTTCTATATTTCTGCTGTAGGTTCAGCGATTCACTTCCTAATAATTATCATGTCTGGATTCGTCGAACGCGTTTCTCAGTATCAGGTAGTGGAGGAAGGATGCAAAGCTGCCAGTGCGGCCTATCAGAATATCAAGAGTAATGAACATCTGGGAACAATTTTTGCCAAAGTCGAATCCGCAGCAACCTCTCTAGCCGCTATAATGAAGCCCGTTTTGGATAGCCGTAAGTCATTTGATCTTGTTCGGACCTATTTTTAATCATTGATTCATGAAACAGTTTGTTGTGTGTACGTGTGTGGGACAAAATCCGGCAATTCGAAGACTGACTGAGCTGATTAAGCCAAAGAGCATCGTGGTTAACTGTGGCGGCTCCCACGAGCATGTAATTCACTCCTGAAGGCACCGGTAATCAGAAACCTCCTCCCTGTGGAAGTTCTTTTTTTCTACCTTAGTCTGCACACGCCTTATCCAGTTTGCTACGTGCGTCTATGTTGTAATTCCTCTGTCCTTTGCGTACACCGCATTAGCATTTTGACTACATCCAATCACCTCCCCCTACGACAATGGCTTTCTTGGAAATGCACTGCTCCGAAGGTCGCGAAACCTTAGTTCTGTATTTACAGTTCTAATAGCACATTCGAAGCAGAACGTGACATTAATTTGCTGACTACTGGCTTTACGTGGGTTGAATGGCACCGAAGTTATCCTGAAAAATTAACTCATCTGTTTTCCTGAAATTCTACATTTCTGCATTGCGCAGCAACTTCCATTGCATATCCTTACTTTGTGAATCCTGTTTTCCGGTGTGGTTTCTCGGTATGTTCTCGAAGTTTCCACGTTAGCTTGCTGGAGCAGGTGCCTCCTTTTTTGCGAAGCTTGACTGTCCGCGCTTTATTGGTGCTTAAGCTGCCGTCTATAGGACCAGTAGTCTTTGTGCCTTTCTGTGACGAAATCTTTGTCGAATTTTCCGTTATGGAGAGATGCTATTTTTGGTTCCTTTTAGCTAGAGCCATCGCCGGAGGTGGGTCAGAGATGAGGGCAAGATTTCGCTCGATCTTATTGCTTGCGAAGGATTGAGTTCGATGCATGTAAATATGTACTACCGTCGTCCTCACGTCAAATGCACACCGATGATATTACCATGTTACAGCATTGAAGTTTAGGTTTGTTGGACGGACATCCGCTCGCCTGATTAATTGCCATCAGCAGCTAAAAATGCTCCAGCAAAACTAAGTTATATGGATTCGTTGATATTGTGCGTGAAACACACAAAAAGGTAACCTTCCCGATGTTCCCTCCAGTTTCTCAAGCGATCAAATACAGCTTTTATCAGAGCTTGCCCGTGCATAGCAAATGCCTGTCTATCAGGTCAAGTAGGCTGGCTTTTTTTCTATAGGCACCTCCCTTGAAAACCGCTCCATTGTGTGGTGGAATTAATTCAATAGCTGAGCAGTCACTCTGCCTTCAGCAATGGCAGTCTTCTACTTACTCATCAGCTTATGTGCGCGTTATTATGATGGGACAGCACATGCTACTGATGTCCTGAACTCTCGTGACTTTATCGTAGCAACTGTAGGTTGTGTCTTCAGTACATCTGAGTAATTACGGTCGGTGCCAGTGAGGTGAATTCCACCTCTTCAACTGTTATAGTTTGTTTGGTGCAATGATCACTCTACCTTCTTTTTCCGGTACATTTGGTAGAAATCGCTCACAAACTTGATGAAGTGGCTAGCCGTCAAATACTGGATCGCGTCGAATCACTATGCCCAACTCTGAAAGACACTTCCACGGAACAGCTTCTTGGTCCTGTGGCCAATCGCGCTTTGACTTTGGCAGAAACTTGTGCGGATTACTGCCTTCCGGAAGACCAGGCGAGTTTCCGACAATTTTTTTTGCCTTCTTAATTTTAGAAGTGCCAGTTCTTTGTTGTTTTTCTGGCAGCTGTTCCTTAGGTATGCCAAGTAAAAAGCGCACCTCGGAAGTAGTGGTCATTCACTGTGAAATCAACCATTAAAAATCGTATCTTGTTACAGGGCCAAGAAACAAGGGGCCTAAAGCCGAAATCCAGTAAATCCATACCTAACTTCGGTGCACTGCTTTTTCGTTGCATTCGCTTCAGGTTATAATGTTTTATCGCTTTTTCGATGCTCTGATGATAACCGAATCGATGACAAGACACTCATGACTAGACAGATAAGTATGTCGACCACCATGTTCAATCGTGCTATCTTTCAGGTGTCTAACTTTACTTCTAAAATGGGGGCGAGTGGACGATCGCATTTATAAATGAATTGGAATCAGGAATTATGAGGTTTCGGTTGGAATTTGCTAAATGTGTCGCAGTGGACTGACCTTTTGTAGTTACGTTATGGTTTGTTTTTGTCCGTCGATTTCAGCGATGAATAGCCGACGACCACGTCTAACTGCGCTCAGTTGTACGAACAAACGATACAAAAATTCTGCCAGTTCTGTTTCGTTCGGGCCACCTCAAACTGAAAGACCACCTGTTGGTCATGATGCAGTGGTGATCTGTGGCGTCGGAATCGCTCTCAGCTTCCGGGCTTAAGGCGCTTTATTGGACTACAAACCAATAAACAGTTGTACTTGCACTGCTTGGTTGCTTCACTAAGAGTTTGTATAACGCAGCAGCGTAGGTTGCGCCTGTTTGTAATTTCGATAGGTTGCATTTCGACAGATGGCACTTCGGAACATCGGTTTTATCGACACCCGTCACTATTGCCTCGGATGTTGTCATCCTAGCGTATGCTATGAATTTGACGACTAAAACCCGAGGAAGTGCAGTCGGTTGGTAGCTTCGAAGTCGTTGCTCGCCACACAGACAATGGAGAACGAATCCTTCGGCTGTGTGCTGAATATTGTCTTTCCAAATCAGTATATACTTTTTGGACAAACATTCGTTACGTGTTAATTGGAGACTACCAATTGCAAACCAGTTATGAATTCAGCTGGATCATATGGACATCAATTATCGATGGGGAGCTTCGGTTAAGGGTCATCGTTCCTTCCTAGGTATATAGCTTGGTTCTGATCACGCCCTGTGCAAACTGGTTTATCAGTTCGCCTCTCGGGATCACGCATGCCGTTGTAGCTCATCAACTTCAGTAGACTTCTACGGTTCAAATCTATCAAGCTGGTGTGTCTGAAAGCTGTTGGAAGGTAAAGATTATTTGGATAACGAATAGTGGAAGGGTAATGAAATGATTCTCTCGGCTGCTTACGCCATCCGACTCGACCAAATAAACAATGGATATCGTCTGTATCGCAGGCTTTTAATTGGTCCCAGTACAACCATACAAGATGCACGCAGATCCTCCAAGCGCTGAAGGTTCGATTACCTTAAGAATGACAGAGAACGCTGATGTACTGATAAAACCCAGAAACCGGAGAGGGTTTTCACTGCAACAAATAGCCGTACTTTGTTCCAGATGTTTCGCTCAGCTGGCCAAGAAGGCGGATGTCAGCGAAACAGTCTGAGAAAAAGTTTGGACAGCAATTCGTTCGCGAAATCCTCATCGGAAATGGGAAAAATAATAGTCGTTCATCTTTAACAGCATTTCGCCACTTAGTTACCGTGCCACCCGGAGGGAGCACGAGGGATGAAACACTATCAGGTGCCCAAGCCTAGACAGGAACTGTCAAGATGCAGAGGTTGGGTTGGAACCACAGACCCTCCGTCAGTAAGTTTGCGCCCCGTCTACTGAGCTATCTGGAGCTATCGTCATTTAAACATTTCGGAGAACGTTTCAGCTAACTTTTCTCGACAGAAGTTCTTCGAGCGACCAACTGACCTGTCTGGAAAGTTAATACCGTGACAGAAGTCAAGTGCCATATATTGTCCCTTCAATGCTATCATGCTTTAATGGTTTGCACCTTGTATTTCTCAAGGGTAGAGAGGTCTTGGTGAGCAGTCTGAGGACCGTAGTACAAGCCATTCGGAACGAAAACACTACCGATGGAGTGTGGAGCATTGACGGTAACGCCGGTTTTCAAGAATTGTGCAGGAAAACCGTGCGGAAACCATATTCGCATCAGCCTGTTCACCGTAGCACCCAAGATGTTCTCTGCCGTTATCTTCCTTTGGTTGGTCTTTTACGGAGAGGAATTCAAATTAGGTACAGGAAACTGATAAAAACGACTACATTTCGTTTCAAATTGATTTGCTCATCAATTGACCCTTCTAAGTATGTTCTCTTAACTGAAATTCCGGCTTGTGTATCCTGTGGATTGAATAGAATTCCTTATTCAGGCGAAACCCGGTCTTCTGGCCATTAAAATGAACCAAACCGTGTCACGCTCAGTTCTGGGTAGACTGAAGTAGACATGCTTCAGCACACATGCCGGCCAAGCTGTAGTGGAAATGCCTGCGTCCTTCTTAGACATGACCATGCAGTATCCAGGCTTGAACGTTTCTCACGGAGGAACACACCTGACCGGGCATGCAAGCAGATTCTTGAACAAAGTCGCTCTTCCAAATCCTCTAAATGACCTTTGTTTGGTCCGAAATCTGCTTTTGACTGTTGATCGTGAGGAACTATGGCAGTATCCGGATATCAAAGACCCCCAAACTTTTACCCCTTGTGAGAAACTGCTCGCCAGCTTTTGTGGATCTCTGCAGGCATACGTTAACTTTTCGTCCAAGTGGTATAAGAGTAGGCCACCCTTCCTCACCAATCTTCAAGTTTGCTATTGATATGCTGTTTAAAATTTCTCTACCTTAATAAAATCTGCGGTTAGAATATCACGAGTTATGGAAACAGCGGGTTGTTTTGTCATCTTGATATTGATCACCAAAACATTTCGATCGTCGATTATTTGTCGGTATGAGACTGCCAAGAGCCAGTATGTTCAACCTTGCTTGACTTGAGTATAATCACTTGGGTTCCTGGCGAAATACACTTATTTGCCGATAGTCTTCAGCAACCTTCTGAGTAGTGTGTTCGGTCAACGAAACTTGGGTTCTTTCCACCTTTTGAATTGTCCGATGTCAAGTCCACCCAGCTATATGTACGGAACCGTCGGTGATTTTCTATGGAATTCCCAACAGCCATTGTTTTATTCACAGTGTCTCACTTTCCACACTATTCCCCGTCGAAATCCACTTCCTGCGCTGCGCGAGTCTCATAGATGACTGAATACACAAATAGGTTTCGTTCCGCGTTTTAGGCTGTACTCTACACCGAATTGCTATCTCAGTCGCCCAGGTAAATGTTTTTTTTACCCACCTCATAGATTCCACATCAAGCTGGAGTTGAGCTTACTCGGACCGAACGGCTGAGTCGCATACAGACCCGCGCTAAAAACCAAGCTCTTCATATGTTCCATGCCTCAGTTGGTCGAGCGCACGAACTCCTGAGTGGCCTAGCCATTTCAGGATCCGAGTTATCCCAGAAGCTCCCAACTGCTACTATTGCAAGCACTTTGAGTCAGGTTATATCTGTCCTGACTTTTGCCTGTGATACCGCCAAATCTGTGAGCTTTCCGATCATTTTGCATGGTCTGGACACCATCAGGGAACAAACGGACAAGCTAGACAAACAACTGAAAGAGGTAAGCCTGTCTACCATCACACGCTGCGGCCACCGAGACCACCGTACACACTTTCACGGTTCGTGGAGTTTTCTGATTGTTTTCCTATCTTGCTTTTACGTTTGACCATTTTGGTTTCGTTTTCTGTTAATTTGTCCTTATCACTTACTGACCACCGTGATTCAAGTTGAGTCTAACAGTTTCTTCACCGTAGCAGCATGACATTGTCGTCTGACCTCGTATTCATGTCATCTAGCAGTTCGATGACCCAGACATCTGTACCTTGCATAGTTTAGTCAATAAAACGAGAAAAGCTTACAGGCTTTCGTACGTGACGTTCCGTAGTACACGCTTTTACCGTTGTTGTGAACGTAACACTGTTATGTGATATGAATTCTATCATGTCTTGCGCGTCACGGAACCACGTATCACGTTTTGTGCTATCATCTTGACAATCGTCCATTCCGCTCTCACAGAAAGGCACACTCAATTGGCTAGATTTACAAAATGTTCTCCAAGGATTGGACAAACTACGGACCTATTTGGAGGAACAGCCGAAACTCGAACAACTTGAGCTCCAGGAAATACCGTCGCATAGTACTGATCCCATTGCTGGCGCTCCATGTACTGTAAGTTACTATTAGTAAGCCTACAAGAAACATCGGAACTTTTTATTCCTCACTTTCGCTCAGCTGTTTTCATGAATTTATTCCTTCTCGTAAGAGTTTGTCAGTGGAGTGAAAAAACCCTAATAGGGACGTTTTGAAACCCCTATAACAATTAGGGACACCCTGCCGACACAGGACGAGGGACGTGAAGCGCAATTATGAGGCCGAAAAACCCATTTTAAGGGGTTACTATGTTCCTACTATGTTCATCATCATCAAAGACAACAAGTGTTGCCACTGATGCTTCACTGGCGTAGTTCCTTATTATTAGTCAGCTACCAGCTACCCGTTGTTTACTCTGACTGGTAAATTGCATCTTGAGCGACCTCAGGCTCTCTGTACACTGATATGAAGTTACCAGGCCACACAGACCCTAAGACTAGCCCGTTGCTATACAAGCTGCCGACACTATAGGTGAATAATGATACGGATTTGGGAAACTGTCCTCCAGCGAATCAGCTGAACCTTTCACTGAAGGCGAATCTGGATTTCGATTATCGATTATCTAAGGTCTGTTTTAGTCAATACTGTAGACTGATATCGACCAACCCAAGTACCACTGAGTCACTCATATAGTGCACAATCAGGAACGGACTTATTCGAATATTTAATGGCGTGTGCAAAGACTGGCACATGATGCTGTGCAATCTAATAAAACTTCATGTCTAGTTTCAATCGAAAGCGAGATCTCAGCTGAGACTTTCGATTCTCCTCACGCTGTCAGCAAAGTAAGTTGCAGTATGTTCTCTTTGTTTAATTGTGCGTATGTACACTTGAAAGCACGATCTGATTTGGTGCGTGAGAGCGGATACTTGCTACCTGGGGGTGGGGACCTTGAGAACCCAACGTCTATACTGTCCTGTTGAGTTTGAACGCCTGCTTGTTAGGGTGACCACAACGAAACGCACTCAATCGAGGTGCGATTGCCTCCCGAGGTTGGAAATAATGGCTGTATGCATTAGGGGGATTCCTACCGTCTTCAGTTGGGTGATCATCACACGCTCAAGTTTGCGAGATACTGAATCCGGAAGGATATCTCTTTCACCTCCGGAAAACCGTTTGTGACCGATCGAGAAGTCACCGTTTCAAAAGGTCATAGCAAGCAAACCACCGACTGTTCAAACCTTTCTGTCTTCTCTCTTTGTCTTCTCTTCAGATGACAAACTATTAGAATAAACGTAGGTAACTCGTTCATATGAGACGCAGCAAAACAGTTACGGATCGCCGAATATCATATCCAAAATATGATCTTGGAAGAGCTTATGCATACATCTTCGAATAGGTGGAGCTCTGCAGACTCTACTCTTGAAAGTGAGTATGGGCATTGACACATGGTTCTTCCGTGCCCATGGAAGAAGCCTTCCGTACACAATGCAGGAGAAAGTGACGGAGCTAACATTCTAGGATACATACATTTGGCGCTCCGTACATTTGGCCATTCCGTAAGGTTCAGGTTCTGTCATAATATCTTGGAGTAAATAATGTTCAGTGATGCAGATAAAGAGCAGCTATGGTTTATTCGTTTGAGTTTCTTACTTTGTGGTCTGTAAAGTATAGAAAAAACCAATCTAATTTTCTGAGCGTCCTGGGCATCCTGAACTCTCAAAAGATACGTCCTCACTTTCAAATAGTATTGTCAGATTTTCGAAGTTGATAGAGCCATGTGAAAAAAGCGTACTAGCTTACACAATGAAAGCATAGTGTGGTGTGGATAGTTTTCGAAAGATTTCCGAAAGATGAGCCTCTTTTTGAGTACCTGAAAGGTCACTAAACCCAGTTCTATAATGCAGAACAAAAATCAGCACTGTTATAAGGTATTTGGAAATTTGTCCACGAGTCAACAACCGCTGGTCTGTCAAACCGTGTGATGCGCCGGGCACCCACTTCCGCTATTGAGAACATCTGCCTCGAGAAGGTAGTAAATGAATTTTCTTAGCAGTGGTTACCGACTCTGTTCAGATTACGAGTGACAAGCGCCGTTTATCGCAGCGTCTAATATCACGTGGAAATCCGTTAATGTTGGTAAGGCCTGTTCGCCTGGGATGAGCCGTTTACCTAGTTTTATGCTTCATTACAGGGTGCCTCCAACGAAACGAACGGGACTCAGCCACACTAGACGACCCTCATGGATCGTGTTCCTGGACTTCCATTGTGCCTTTGATTTGCCATCGCATTCACGTACAATTTTATTTCCCCCGTGATTTGATTCATTTTGCTATGTGAAATTTGGTCAATGTTTATCCGCTTCATTTTTCTGTAATAAAAAGCAAATTTGGTTTCTTTCTTTACGTCACTATGCATCTGGAACATTCTATTTGAATGGAGCACGTGTAATGCAATTCTTCCGTCAATAGAATACAGTGTGATATCACAAATATCCTGCCAAGTGAGACGTGGCTGTAGGTGAAATCTGCCATACAGCAACCATCAGCAACATTATGAGTTGTGTCTTCGTTTAGACAAAATCTACTACGATATCTCGAATATCGTACTAACTGAGACATGAGAGGGGCCTTGTATAGCACATTTAGTTAAACAATATCATTAATCGGATATTCAGTTGAGTCCTCCGCTGAAACCAAATTAGTGCATACCTACTGGCTCCAAGTTTAGATCGAGATTCTGTCTTGTAAGGAAGTGAAATCAGTACACTGAAGACCGTCTTCCACCACGTTGATGTCGCTCGGTTGGCTACGATGTAATTTCTCGTTGAACATTGAAGACAGTCGCTGGCTGTGCGGAAATATTCTTGTGGGAAATCCGCACACGGATAATGGATTTCTTTGATCCACGTTTTTGGCCGTGGGATTCCATTTAGAATAAACGCTCGGCCATAGAAGATTCTTGATCAGTAGCGTTAGCAGTATGGATTGCTAAGTACCTATACTCTTGCCGCCCCCCTGCACTGCTCGCCAGAAAACGAATATGGACCATTCAGCTACTGGTGTGCACATGAAGATGATTGAACCATATTTTAATCTGACTTTTTCTTTTTGACCCGTTTCCTGAATGCCTGCTTTGACCTTCGTCACGTTGGCCATTGTCTTCTTTAAAATCAGGTCTCTGAGCACACCAGTACGAGTTCAGTGTATGCTTCAGTTATTCTCAAACGAAGGTAATATACACTGAAACTGTCGGCGGAGAAATGTGCACACCATCAATAGATGTCAAAAAGTGTGAGCTGAATGCTCCCGTCGAAAATCCCTACTGATGGGCCGTCACCCAAGTAAGGTCAGACCGTCTTTTAAAGTCCAATTCAATTTGCCAGTGTCCTGGTGTGCCGAGTATGAAGGACACCTTTTAGCGTGCCCTATCAACCATCATTCAAAAGCACCTTTGGTATGAATTGGGTAAAACGCCCCTTCATTGCAAAGGTTTGATAAGGTGTGACCATATATATTTCACAATCACCACTCAGATTTATTGCCAACATTCTTGTTTGCGGGATTGTTGAGTGACCTACGTGTATTTTTAGCGGATGTTTTAGGGCAGCATTTCTCATACATAGAGAAGATACAATCAGGGTAGATTCTCTAGACTTGGGGACCCCATTTACAGAGAGTTATTTTTGGTCCAGTCAATCTGAGGTCTAGATCATTTTCTTCGCCAGTTTTATTTGTCCGCTACTTACGCAGTCTTATACTGTCAACAGAGGTCAAGTTATGGTACTGAGGGACGCCCTTTATCCCATTTTGAACCAGCTAGTGAGGTTTTGTGCAGGTAAAATTCCAACGTACCGGGAGATCGCCGGTTGCATTCTGTATGCCTTTTATGCGTATTCCCACCGTGATCGCCCCAGGACTGTGCTCAAACACAAATGCTCTTGAAACAGTCTCGAAGAGACGACCTTACATCAGTACTGTGACTTATACACCGTAAACCAATGAGTTGCACTGGAGGATGTGCGAGAGGCACTCACAGAGCTCTTCATCCACCAAAGCCTTTGGTGGATGACCCTAGCTGTTCTCCCGTCTGAGTCTGGATGCCTTGGCAGTATTACAGCCCAAGTACAGTCGAACATTTACATATTCTCATGCCACACCGGTCGTTGCGTGGTGCCTTCAGCCGGGTCACCTTACTTGCTGCGTACAGTAGGGCGGATAAGTGAAAGTGACCACTGCTGATGTCTCCTTTCCCTTTTACATATTTGTTCTTTCCCCACGCATCCTGCTTCCAGTGACATCTCCGTGAGCCCATTCCTAAAGACTGATGCATCGGGTTGTCTCCTATTGCCGTTAGCTGCATAATCTACTGCTAACCCAGTTGCCACGAAAGCAGGCAATTCTGAATCACTCTTCAAAGCCCAACGCCCATTTCATCTTGAAGCCCTTAGTGTTTGCAATCCGAAACAAGCCGGACAACAGACTGTTCTTGCATGTACGCTGGACTCGCTTTCTATTGATGTGTTCTATCACTCCGAAATGAGGATTCAAGACTGAAGTACGGTTTTTGAACCGGCCTCCCAATCGGTTTCCGCTTGCTTCTGCTTGCGCATCGCTGGTGATCCATAAGGCGTCGCTTGTGCATTGCGCTAATCCACCGAACTGAAGAGTGATTGTTGTCCATCGTATCTGCTTATGTCCCAAAAATCTATAGCCCTATGACACCCGAAGACAGTTTTTACAACTCTAAGCGACTTTTTTCGGCAGGCTAAAGTACCGGATATTGTTATGGCTACCGGAGACATGAATGCATATTTAGGAAGACTTAGCGTTGCGGTGGCTCAACTGGGTGGTCGTCTTTAATTGAAGTCGAGACGTATGGACAACAGCGAATGCCCACAGCATTAATAGGCTGACCGCAAACTGTTTCTGTGCGGTAGTAACTCCCGAAACAACCGAAGTCGTTTGGCCACATGGCGCCCCACCCCTCACAGCATACGAGCCGACCTCCAACACAGATAGACCACATCAGTTGCTATAAGTGGCGTGGGTCAGTTGCTGATTGTCGCTCTTTCCGGAGCACTTAATCGGATTCGGATGTTCGTTGCTACATCTCGTTTTATTTTTGGCATCAAAAAGGTTTCTTCAGCGCCGTTATTGTCCTTGGCACATTTTATGCCTAATTCCAACAGCCTACTGAGCCGTGAATTGGGTTGCTCATCACTATTATCACTCAGCTATGGTAGGTGTAAGGGTAGTAAACTATTCTTATCACTTACGCCCTTTCCATCGTATTTTGATTGAATTTATTGACCTGATTTCGTAGATCCTTTGCGCTTTTATGGCAGTCAGTAGTCAAACAAGTCGGGGGAAATAAGGTGCCGTACTTACTGCGGTTATACTGGACTTTTTACCTTTCCCACTGCAAATTTTCACATTATACTCTACCTTTCTGCGTTTTTTTAGGAAAGATAAGCGTAATTGATTGTGTTTGTAAGGATCTTAAAGATTTTCCTCAGATGACTTAGCCGCTCTTGTCAAATGGATAAAAGAAGTGAATAGCGAAATCCTTTCCGAAATATTTGCAAAAACGTTATGTCTCCAAGTGGGGGCGAGATAGCCCAAGTAGTTAGAGCGCAAATTTACTGACCGGAAGGTCCGTGATTCGAACCCGACATCTGTCACTCGACTTCCCCTGTCTAGGCCTGGGCTACCTGGCAGTATCCCGGCCCTCGTGCTTCCTCCGGGTGGCATGGCAGCTAGGCACCAGAAGGGTGTTACAGTTGAACGATATCACTAGCGCCTTCAACTGGTGGAAGTTTCCTTTCACCACAGGAGAATCAAAGGTAAATATGCTTATTCACTTTGATCGTTCTACTCATTGCTCTGTTTGAACAAACTGCCGCAAATGCAAGGAATAAGAATATTTGCCAACCGGAGAGTGATGTTAGTTGAACTCGCATCCACCCTGTGGCGCTTTTGGATTTGCTCCACTGCGGCGTTTCTCTCCTTCTCTGATCAATTCTATTGGAACGGTCAACCAGAATTCGGTGGCAGTGTATTCAAGTGCTGTCGATTTGGTTGTGTTAGTCTGTGTGAGACAAAACATAATGTGTCTTAACTGACAATTGTTTTGTTGGCAGCGGTTACGATAAGACAACAAGGTTCGTGACACCAAGTCAGTTAAACACGAGGGTCGTGCGTGACAATTAATACGAACCAGAAGGTCGGATGCCACTGGATTGTCTTATGGCTGACGCGCACTCAGTACCTCAGATACGCAAATGTTAATTAAGCGTACCACTTTAACTTGTTCCAACCTCCCTGAAACAATTAGTGGGAATACGACTTCGTAATTTGCATACCATCGGCGCAGTTCATTCTACTTAAGCACTGAAGCCATTGATCTTGAAAATTTTGCACACCTGTCTGAAAAGCAACCGTAGAGTGTAAGTGAGATGTCATCGAACCATCCGTAAGAATGATCATTTTGTATATTTGTCACCGTTATCCTACTTCGCAAGCCATAGTTCAAGTGACAATATACACGGGGAAAAAGTAGCACTGTAAATATACTTTGACTGGGTCCATCGTTTGCCTCTGACCTACATACATTGGTTTTCTAGTGACGTTTCGAAAAAGCGTTAAGTATAGGCAAGACCTAAAAGAGATTGGCACGCGACAACCTAAATATGAGTGAATAACAGAATCCTTGCTTCTAATTCTCGTAAAATAAAAAAAACAATATACGAGAGTTCGCGGTGGCCGATTAAACGTATAGCCTATGAATCATATGCACTAGAGTAGGGAAATAAATATGGGTTTCCTATTTTCGTTTGAGAACACGGAGAAGCTGTCGAAACTAGTTTCTTCCGAAGAGCAAGAGCGCGAGAAGAAAAAACAATGAAATTGCGCAGGGCAATCCGCATTTTCTATTTGCGATTACGGCTGACAAAACGGTCGCATAAGACTGCAGCTGAAAATATGTCTTGTAGAGAAAGAAACAAAATCGAGTGAAAGCGTCTGCGCTTCATCCAACAACTACTCCGATAACGACTTCATTTCACATGCAACCATATGAGTGTGCGTGTCGATCGTACGAAGACTAATCGACTTACTGAAATGCGGCCGACTCCTCAATCCGACTAATTCTGCTTATCCCTTAGAATTTCCAATAAACTGAGTGATGTATCAGCGTGGTCGCAGGAAGGCGAAGATACTCCTACACATAAACACTGTAATGCATGTAGTTTTACTATGATTCGAGAAAGTGTCACTTCTATTTTGGGGAGCCGAAATAAAGATTCACGTGTGATACACGTGCGTGCTCGGGAAACAGAACAGCACCAACGGACTTGTCACTCCGAAGACGGACTTTGTTCCACTTGGTCTACTTCGGTTCAGTGGAGGTGCACACACAGAAAAACAACAACAATTTGAAGATTTTGGGTCACCAATTTTGCTGATTTGACCGTTCCAAATACGTTGAAACGTAATCAGAGTAATTTGTTGACTGGTGTGCTTCGTTTTGAAATATGTGAAAATGACCGCAACATTGAGACATGCACATCGTTGCAATTATGCGCACGAAATATGCGCATATACCCACTGAACAAGGAAATTCCATGAAAATACAAGTTACATTCAGTCGAGACGGCTTTACCCACCATGTTTGTCTGGAAATCCAACAGTGCCTGTTAAGCACCTTAAACTGCCCCATCTGTTATCACCAAACGCACAACATTTCTCTTCACTTTTCCGTTTCTGCACCGGAA